AGCAGGATGCAGTGACCATAATCAGGATGACTCGCAGTGCTGAGAAGACAGAGGGGGCCAAACCTCACCAAAGATGGGAAGCTGAAGAGGGAGCTTCAATGGTACCTGCACTTAGCTGAGGGCTTTTTAAAGCTAAGCACTAACAAAGCAAAGTGGTGGAGGCAAGGTTGCCCTAAAGGGTGAGAAGATTAAGGTGGAACCCTGTCCGCTGCCCTAGGTTTGGTGCCGGCCCTGCCAGGCAGGAAGAAGGATGGGGTCTGAGGCACGACTAGCCTCATGCCAAGGGAACTGCAGGCTCCAGGAGGTGAGGCCAAGCATGCTGTGGAAAGGGCTTGCTGCCGTGCGAGGCAGGAGGTGGCTGCATGGGTGGAAAGCCCCATAGGACTCTGATCACTGCCTTCAACCATGAAGGTGCAGGTGAGTTGCCACGATCTCCCAGTGCAGACTGAGTCACCAATTAAGAGTGCCGATGGCAAGGGCACGAGCCCTGGCAAGGGGCAGGACAACGACACTTGCCAGTTCTCAGGCAAAGGGACACATCTGAGGAAGATGTCCTCCTGCACCAAGAGCAATGCTGTGCATTCAACGGCTGGGAGTGCCAGGCAGCATACACGTGTCCCTAACCCACCATGTGCCACTGTGCCCCAGCACAAAGCATGGCTGGGATTGGAAAGTGCCACCAGCCTTTGAGGAGCACAGCCAGGACAAGGTCTCCTTGTCGAGCTCCACAGGCTTTTGGAAGTTTCTGGCTGCCAATGTTGTCCCAGCTCAAGCAGTAGGTTTTGGGGGGGGATGTCAGCAGAGAGCTCCAGCAAGCCCAGATGAAGGATAGGAGCAGGAAGAAGTATTGCCCTGGAGAGAGATAAGCACTTCTCAGGATAACTGAGATGGCCCCTGCCAAGAAGCCTCAGAACACAACAGCCCTGTTACCTCAGCCTTACTCCCCCTGCAAGGTGTTAGCAGTGAAAATTTGCCAGACACACTCAAAGCAGGGCCAACCACTAGTGAAGCACTCCAGCATGAGCGAGGGGTCCCCTCTGTGCCTTGTACCATAGCCACCACCACCTCTGTTTTCACAGCTCCAACCACTCTGCTCCTTTGGGGGCAAGGAGCAACCACAAAAATAGAAGCATCCCTATACCCTCTCAAGGCAGCAGCAGGCCCCTGCTTTGCAAGTGATGGGCTTTGAGAAGCAAGGCTGCAGCTTCCTGCCCCATATTCAGACACGTGTTAGCTTGGCTGGAGCGACCATTACAGGCTCTACACCACTGCCTGATCATCTCCTGTGCAGCATACGCCACCCATCCAGTTGGCAAGGCATGGGGGATGCTCTTATCCTAGGCAAAAAAGTAGCAAGAAAGAGGAAAGAGCAGGGAGGGAGGGTTCATGGCAGCATTTAATGGGCAACGCCAGGCCAAGGTGCCAGAGGATGCTCTCAGCAGAGTTGAGGCAGGAAGTTTGCTTCTGCAGGGGGAGAGAGAAACGATAAAGATGCTGCCTTGCCGGGTGCACTGCCAGTGGGGGTAGGTGGCAAGGGACATGGGCCAATGCTTGCCTTGGTCCTGGCAGTCTCATAAGGTGAAGGTAAAAAAAGAGAGAAGTTGTGCAATTGCCTGCTAGATCCTCTCCATGCACCCGCCTGCCCCTACACCTGGCATGGGAGCAGCCCTCATCGCTCCCTGGCACGAGAGGGATCAGGCAAAGGAGGCTTCCCTGGGTGGCCCCAGTGTGCTGTGGGCTCAGGCAACCAGGTTTATTTTCTCCATCGTAAGGCTGGATAGCTGGACACAGGCAGGTAGAGCAGGGTATGTGATGTGGCACCTTCTGCCTCAGCTGGGAGCTCCTAGGCACTACTGCCTCAGGGAATGTTTAAGGGCTACTAGGGGAAAATCAGTGTACATCCAGCTGTGGTAGTGGCTGACACAAAGGGGAGGGAAAAAGAGAAGAGCATGAATTCACCGACCGAGAGGCACAAATCCAAGCCCAAACTCCCAGCCACTTAGATTAGTTCAGAAGCAAGACAGAAAACTGTAAGAGAAAAGGAGAAAGAGAGAGAGCATGAGCAAGAAAAAGAGAAGAAACAAGACCCTGAAAAAACGACATACTATTCCCGCTCCTCTCGCTCCGTCTGCCGACGTCGGCGCCTGGGGGCACAGAAACAGAAAAGGAGAGGTTACAACCCCAGGAGCAGGCACTGGGTCTCCTTCGTCACAGGGAGCTATGTACCTGACAGGGCTCCACACTGTCCTGAGGAAGAGAAACCTGCTGATGTTCAGGCTGGAGAAGACCTTCTTTCCAGAGCCCAGTGCTGTCCCAAGTCACAAAAACCTGAAGCACTCACTGGCCCAAGGGCAGAGTGCTTTGCTGCTAGCTAAAGGCAAGCTGGCTTCACTGGGAAGGTGATCTGGCTCCACACCACAAGCGTCCCAGGGAGCTTCTGAGGGACCGGGCCAGGCAGGACAGTCTACCAGGGCTGCCCAGCTGCCATCTGAGCTCCCCCTTCCATGTCTCTCCTCCTCACTAAGGCAGCCAACATATTTGCATCTTGCCCTCCTGAAATGCTCATCTTACCTCACGGATGGGCCAAGTAGCAGGGGCTCCTCCCTGGGACCCCCATGCTGATGATCCACAGACCTTTACCACAGCCACACTGTCCCTCTCCCTATGCTTACCAGCTCTTCCTTGCCAAATGGCTGGCATCCCTCTGCCTTTCTGCCTACAGCCACTGCTCCCACTGCCTCACATCCAAGGTGCTCAAGCATCACCTCCAAGAACGGCCAGCCCTCTTTCTCCACTGAAGGCCAGAGCTGTGCAGCCCCTGTGGCTACCAACCAGCGCCTGGGTCCAGAGAGCTTAACCTCAAGGAGCTGCTGCCCTCTCCCCAGTGAGGTCTCATCTGGCTATTCCTTTCTCCTTGCTTTTCCCCCAAGGCCTCCGCATTGCTGACTTCCCCAGTCAGGCCAGGAAAGGAGAGGCAGATGAGCCACAGGGACACAGCTGCTTATCTAACACTACCTGGGACCACTTATCTAAACCAGGAGAGTTCCTGGTTTGGTGCTGGAAGAAAACAACTCTTATTCTTTCCACTGTTGTGCAGGTAGTGCTTGAGAGCAGCTTGCTTGAATCTGTATCATCAAAGGAACCAAAGAGGCTGAAGCTCAGTCCCATCCAAGCCTTCGGGCGCGATGAGCTCGTGGAGTTGATTCAGGGGAAGAGCCACCTACCACAGCCAGCCTTCAGAAGCCATGCTTTGCCTCCAGCACCTAACAAAGCACCATGGGCACAGCAAACCACCCCTGGAAAGAGGTGGACTACCTGCACAACCCCTCTAGCTTAATCAAGGAGAGTGTTCCTTGTTCTGTACTGGAAGAGAATAATCATTGACCTTCCTGTTGCTGACAGCAAAAACAAGAATAGCATCTCACTCTGCCATGGAGCTGTCATGCCCAACAGGCTCTGGCTTTTGCCGACAGACACTAGTCCACGAATGCATTGGGCAGGAGGGATCCATACCCAGATCGACTTGTCAGCACTTGGGATGTGAGCTAAACTCCCATCAGGACAGCAGTGGACACTTGGCACCCACCGCTCCTCGACCTCCTGTCTGCTTCAGCGCGGGGCATGGGAGGGGGTGAGCCAGCAATTTGTTCGCTCTTCCTTTGCACCCCTTGCCCAGCCAGAAGTGACTGGTGGCCTTTTGCCTGGGGGAGAACGAACTAGCGGGGCTGAACTTTGCTTTTACCCTGGGCACCTGTGCTCTCTTAACTGTCAGTGCATGTCCCTGCTTCACCCTCCCTGTGCTCACACACGTTGCACACTCGCTCCGTGGGCCAGGTGTCCCAGTCGTCCCTGCCTGAGCTTGGCGAACGAGAAGTACACACTTGGAAATGCAGCCTACTACTTTCAAGTGCTCTTAACAAGAACTGCGTCCAGGAGAGCCACAAAGACACCTTCAGAAGCTTAACAAAGCCTTCAGTGTGGCAGCCTTGACCCTTTCCTGTGACCTCTTTTCCTCTCCTTTCTCCTCCCCCACCCTCCATCTGCTGTTTCTCTGTAAGGGCCCCTGCCCATCTCTGTCACTGTAGTGACCATAAGTGATACGGAGTCAGCAGGGAACACTCCCTGTGTTGGAAGAAGGATGCTGTAACAAAAAAGCTGTTAAGCAGGGATTTTTCCTGTTCCTGGAGCTCAGGGAATAAAACTGGCATGCTTGCCTCTCCTCTCCAGCTGCCTCTGGCACACATAAGGAGATTTATCCCTCATGCCCTACAGCAAAGAAGGGTACTACTTGTGCTTTGTTTTCCTGCCCCTCTCCCATGCTTACCTGTCAGCATCAGTCACCAGGGCCAGGCGTCCGTAGTCCCAAGCAACTTTACGCAAAATTGAAAAGACAAACAACAGTGCCTGGAAGAGAGCAAAGGGGGAACTGTGAGATGAAGCACGGTCCAGCTCTGTCCTTGTTCTCTGTGTGCAGAGCCACAGGAGCAGGGTGGTAGGAGGGGACAGGAATGCTCAGCTAACAGGACACTGAGGCCAGGGGACAGCAAAAGTTCCCCAGGACTGTTAAGATCAGACTGTCTGGATGGCTGTGGGAGGCAGAGGTCCAGGATGCCACACACAGTAGCTAAGTCAGTCATAGGATCAAAAGGCCCTCAGGTCTCAAGGAGGACAGATTATAGCTACCACATCTGTGGTCCTGCAGCTCCTAAGGAGGAACAAGCAAAACCTTTTGCTTTGTAAGGTAAAGCTGCAGGGGCCTGGCATCATAAGCAGGCGTTTCAAGATGCAGAACTGACCTAACCTGACCCATGTCCTTAGGAAAATTTGCAACACCCTTCCATGGGCTCAGTGTGGTGGTATTCGAGTTAAGTCAATAGTGGCTAAGCCCACAGAGGCTGAGACACAATCAGGGCCAGAAAGCCAGCCAGCAGCAAAGTCAAGAATGGCATTTTGGGCCCTGAACTCTAACCACCTGACATTTCTCCCTTCACAGCTAATTAGGGGAGAAGGCGTTGAAGCAACAGTAGGTAGACTTACGAGAAAGCACATAAAGTCGAGGGCTAGGACGGTGGGCACCCCGCCGAAGGGCAGCCCCTGCAGCACAGTGCTGCGGATGCGAGCACTGTAGCAGTAGTCCTTGGTGCTGTTGTTACATGTGGAGGCTTTGCAGGTGGCCCCTGCTGAGCCCAGGGTGGCAATCACGTAGGGAAGCATCTCTACAGCTTCATCGTCTTCCCTGGGGAGAGGAGAGAAAGGCTTGGTTAGACACACGCCAGCTGGATGACAGCATAGGCCTGTTGGAGTTAGCAGGCAGGGTTGGCCCTATCACAGGCTCCTCTGCACTACAGGATTGCCCTGGGAACCACTGTCCAGGGAACAAGGTCATCTGGAGAAGCCTGCCGAGGCTTGAGGGGTGCTGTGGTCCCACCACACAGTCCCAGAGCTCCCTTGTTCCCCAACTCTCATCCCATTAAGGTGCACCTCTTTCTCACAGACTACTCCTCTTCCTGAGGACAGGGTGTCTCAGCCCCTTCCCCTCAGCAGGGAGAACGGTCAGGTACAGGAAAGAGCGAAAGGGTGGGGTGGTAGGGACATGCAGTCACGTCTGGATGATGGAAACAAACTGCTACGGGACAGCTGCTGCATCATGATCCCACAACTTCCTCTGCCTGGCTGTGTGCCGTTAGCTTTATTAGGATGAATCACCACCCTGCCGTCACTGCAGGCCTCAGACCCCATCTCCCAGGGCACCCATCAGGGGCTGGGTTACACCCCCTGCTTGTTTTCTTTCCTTCCTCTGACTCGGATGCATTTAGATGCAGAGGGCCAAGAAGAGGCTCAGGCTCTATTATTTAGCTGGTCAAATATTTCTTTCAGTGCTCTCCCCAAATGGCTACAAGACCTGCAGATGGGAGAGATCTTCCTCCTGTGCAGAGCAGCTCCACAGGAAACAGAGAAGACCATGCTAGTAATGGATAAATGCAAACTGAGCATCACTGAGATGGTCTAGAAATGATAAACTGACAACAGAAACACAACTGTTTTGTGGAACAGGGGAGAGAAAACCCCATCAGCTGCAGAAGGAAGCAGCAATAAGAGACAGGAAGATCTACCCAGGCTGCCAGTCCCTGAACCACACCTCTTATCCAGCAGCCACTAACCTCCCCAAATCCTTCACTACCACCGCATACCACACGGAAGGGCTGGCTGGCACAGCATCGCTGCTGGGCAAGGCTCAGGTGCTGCTTACCCAAGTCCAGAAACACTGTCATGGTATGCTGGGCAAAAGAGCAGCCACTCGCCCAAAGCACGAGAAAGCCACCACCACTGCCCTGGGCTGGTTTCAGCCTCTTGTCCCAGAGATGTTCCCTGCCACCAGCCCTGCCCTTCTAAGCTCTGCGTTGGATGGTCACATTAGCACAGAGGGTGCAGGGCTCTTCCCTCCAGCTCAGGGGTATAGTCTGGCAATCTCCCGCCCGGCTGCAGAGATTTATCAGCATCGCAGCACAACGCTGGCTGGATAATGACCATCAAACCGTTTGCTGTGGTGTCCTAGAGAGCTCAGCTTGAAAGCGATCCCTCCCGGCTCAGCTGGTATGGATGCACAGAGGCAAACCAGCTGAAGCATCGATGACAAAAGGCACCACAACAAGCAAAAGCCCGGCTGGGTACAGGCATTGAGGGGGGGTCAGCCAAATTGCAAAAAGTCACCAAGCAGCCTCTTACGAGATATTTGCAGGTACAGAGCTGGAGCAGGGCTGCTGGGAGCAGAAAAAAGTAGTGCAAAAGCAGGAGAAGAAAGCCTAGCCATGAGATCACAGAGGGGAAACAACCAGGGAAGCCAGGCAGGATAATTCATCCCAGCTGAACTAACGAGAGACTCCAGAGGAGAATAAGAAGCTCCAGAGGAGGGATAGGACGAAATGATGGGATGAGACTCACCAAAGGGTAGTCACACGTTTTGGAGTAGGAACAGTGACACCCCTCTGTTTTTACCTGCAAAGTGCAAGCCTAGATGGACTCACTGCAAAGAGATATACCTCTCATTCCTGGTTTTGAGGAACTTTCAGGTTGTGAATGGTGTCTTGCAGCAACGAGTTGCATATGTCGAGTAAAAGACTGCAATCTCAATGCAGTCTTCCAACTCTAACCACTCTCACCACACACCTACGGCCCACTCTCTTTTGACCCTACAGAAAGGTGACCAGAACCACCTACCATATCCTGGGTAGGGAAACAACCTTGACTACCAGAACAGCATCTTGATGCTCTCAGCATCTGTCCTTACATTACTCCTCATGCAGCTGAGCATGATTTACTTCTCCGATGGCATCTTTGCATATTGAGGAAAAACATCTCAGTAACTAATCAGGCCTGTGATGCTGCTGGCCTGAGTGGCCATGGTAATTAAGAAGCCAGACGTGTCCCGGAACAAATTATTCCTTCCATATACCCAACCGCACGCTTCTGAGTGCCCACTTTCTCCTTGCCTCACATCACTTCGCTTCACATGGTGCCACTGTGGAGTCGCTCATCTTGACACATCTGAACGACTCC